CGAATTCTCCCTGGGGAGGATGGGGAGGATGGGGAGGAGCAGGGAAGAAAAGAGGGAAAGGTCTCTCGGTAGAGACTAGGAAGTTTCGAAGAAAAGTCGTATTATCGGTATTACTCCGATAGCGTTCGCCTGGACGCCACACATCGAAACGCCCAGACGAACGTATCGGAAATAACCGTACGTTGTCGAATCAGGGAATTTCCGGCATTGGGAGGGTGAATCCAGTTGCGGTTCCCAGCCCACGAGCCGAGCATCGTGGCTCAGCGATCGAGCGCCACGGCTAGGAACGGGGAGGCCACATAGAATTTCGGTTAGTAGCGAACCACGGATGATCGTCGGATCGATAACGGCCGGCACGAAGGAAAGAAAGCTATTATCATCGCAAGACTTCTGGAAACGAAGTCTCGGAGACGCCATTGATTATTTTCACGCTAGAAGGAGCACCCTGACGGAGGAGGATCTCTTTGTTCGGCCCGTCTTTCCGGGAACGGCAGTGGGTCACTTGCATGGAGAACGACACGCAGAGAGTATCCCTCCCGTCGCAAGCGCGTCGGGGAAACGTAGAACGGAACGGGAAACTTTCAGCGAGAAGTTGTTATCGCTCCGGGCCGCCGCACCCTTCCACGTTGAAGAGGATGCGCGGGGAAAATCCTTCGCGAATCCTTTGTTCCGGCTATAATACATGGACAGTCCTAAGTAATCTCTTTGTCCCTGATCCCCGACTTTCTATCTTCCATTTAACTTTTCTGAGCCCTCGGATCAGTTCTCATCATCCAGAACCGGAACTTACGACGCTGCTAATTTCGCACGACGGAATTACTTCAATATTTGTGTTTGTTCATGGATTTGTAAGCGTTTAATAGTACTTACAAAATTAACATCTGTATTATAAAATCTATTCAGGCACTATTTTTATTTTATTTCTCTTTTTATTAAATGTCTTATTCCATTAATAACATAAAATATTTACATTGCTCTCGCTAAGTCAGAAATACTGAATACTCGAAGGTCCCATCTAAATATAGTTAATGAAGAATTAGGAGACTTGTTGAGATAGTTTGGGAAATGTGGAGATTGAGATAGAAACGTTTCTCCTACTTCTTGTTTCTTGCTACTTTATCGCGCCGCTCGTAAATACGTTTTGTAGACCGTCTAACTGTTCGAACTCTGCTCGATGCTTTTAAAGAAAGTAAGAGGGCTCGTCTCGCAGGCTCGTATTCGCATTAACTGGGGAACGCAACGAGCGCACCTACTCTTCGGACGAATTTACGATGTTGCCGGGTTCCGCGAGTCAATTGTCTGGCGCTGGCCGGATGAAGTTTTCTCCGAAAACAAGAACCTTGCGAGATGTTGCGGCTCTTCGTTAAGTAGGTATATCAGAACTGCCAACGCGAGAAAAGTTTTATCGAAAAAAATTAAATGTTTTAATAGAAAAAAAAATTGTTAATTAGCAAGCGATTGCTGTAATCAGATTGAATCGCTCGATTTTGGATGTAACTTGTGGCCGCAAATTTTAATATTTTAGTTTTATAAATGTCATTTTAACATATTTTTTTGTATGCATTTTTATATGAGGTAGCGTCAATGTGTTGGCAAATTTTTCCGAAAATAGTATGAAACACGAGCTCTTTTCTATTAAAGTTGAAGCCGATAGTATGCCGTAAAGTGAGATAGAAATTGAAGAATGAATCGCACACACATCTTTTCCCGCGTCTTTCGTAAGTAATTACTTCTCTTTCTTCCTTAGGATGGTAGCGGAAGTAGGCGAAGTTCGATCGTAACGAATTTTACGTTCGCCTATATACCGGCTTTTTATCGTCCCGCGTCCTATGACCGAGCCCGCGTTGATGTTAAGGCTCTAAATAAGGGCGTCCTTAGGAACCCTAAAAAAATCCCCAGCGGTACCTTTTTTTTCTACATCCCCTACGCCTTCTCCCTTCCTTTCCTGTTTCACTCCCCGCTGCCGCCGCCAAGAAAATCGTCTCCTCGGCACAATGTACATAAAATGAAGTCAAGCGGTTTTAGCACCGAATACGTCTTCTTCTCCTTCCTTTTTTTACCCTCAAAGCGATAAAGTTGAACTCGCGATCCTCCACATCGATAGAAATCGTTTAAGACTTTTAATTTGATCTACAAGGTCAAGAGAATGGAATATCTCTTCCGTCAGAGCTTACGTTGTAACTTCTCGCAATTTTATTTTAAACACTTTTAAGCTCTAGTTAATAAACTTCCATCGTACAGCTCGATTTCTACGTTTTATTTTTTTATTAAGAAAAAGTTATATTTTAATTTATGAACCGCGAGTTACAAAATTGTTACAAGATTATATAAAATGCTGCAGTTTCAAGTCTTTCTCAGTTTACTCGAGCAATAATCTTCTTTCGAGAATCTTATTATATTGCATTCGCTGGAAGGCTGGACCAAGTAATAAGGGAAAAGATATATGGTTTCGCTGCCTCGCTAACATCAGTTCTTTATTATCTTGCACTGTCGAGTGTGCAGCGGCGGCGGCGGTGCTAAGGTAGATTTTTTTTTCATTTATTTGTATCGTCCCGCATTATTGAATTCCGATAATCCGCGACGCCGCCGGTGTAAGTCCCTTTACAGTACACCACGATTTACGATCCACCATCCCTGCCGTTTCCCAGCCTTTCTCTCCCTTTCGATTTTTAGGCAGGCTTGTCGAAATTATCACAACCTTTCGCCTTTCGCCACTGTTGTTGGATTTGTAGATCCTTTAGAATTAAATATTTTTTTCTAGCTTCGAACGCCGAAAACGTTTTAAAATTGACTACGGATAGAGAAGGATGCGTTAATAAATTCTGTTAAAATAAGATAGAGGAGTTAAAAAAATGGAATATATACATACACTACAAATTCGCGATTATTACAGATTATAATTAATAGAACGCCTTACATACAGTTCGTTTTTCGTAAGCAAAATATTTCATCAAACACTTATCATCTGGAAGGCCATTTTCGTGTTTTGCCCAAAGTATTTCGTGCTCACCCTAGCGCTCGACAGGCTTACGAGTCGCAATAAAATTGCAGGAAATTTATTGTGTCGTATCAGCGTTGCGCAATCCCGGGCCCTCTAATCGAGGCTGTAAAAACTTCGAGTGTTTCTCCTACGATCACATGGACCCAAATCGTACGTCGCGCGTGCGACTCGTACACTCGCGACATACCAATTCAATTTATATCTTCGACATTGGCCTCACGGCGAGATGGATGGACGGATAAATGGATGTACGTGGTCCTCTCGAGTATCCACAGATGCGTCAAGCACACTCCCTTCCTCCCCTCTTCTCTCTCTCCACTCGAATTCACGAATATGTTGGTTGGAGGAGCCGCGGTATTTTTCTCCTTTCTCCCTCGTGTCTCTTTCCTCTTTCACTTATTCCCTCATTCCCGCATTCTTTTTCCCTGCTCTTCACTCATGCCCCTCGGGCGGTCACTCCAAGTGCTCTCCGCGCAGTCTGGAAATATACTTTCATCTTCGAAGAATCTTACAGATGAGAAGGACGTCACGTATCGAGGACAAAGCCGAGTTTTGTAGGCCTCTGTAATAAATAGGGAGATATAAAATATTTTTCTCAATCTGGCAGTCACTCGATATTTAATACAAGGACAATGAGATACGTCTATCGATAATTAACAATTTAATTTTTTATATTATACTATTCTTTTAAAATGGTCGTATTTTCTTTATCAATTAAAAAAGTGATTTAATAATCTAATCTAATAATAACGAAGATTCACGCTTCTGCTTCTCTTTTGCAAACATCCTTTTGTATTTTATTTTTTCCTTCGTAATAACAAAGTGGAAAGACTGGTTATTTACGATGGTTATAAATGTCGTCTACTGGCGTTTTTCTCTGTCGGCGGTAGAGTCGCCCGTTTCCGCTTTCTTCGTCGCCGTTTCGCGCTGGCCTTTCCGACGCTACCTTTCAATTTTCCTTCCTATTGCAGTTTCTCTGGCTACGTTTCTCGCTTTTTTCGCCGTTTTTGTCCTCTTCAGTTCGTTATTAAAATCTTTCTCTGCTGCGGTACAACCGTCGTTGGTTCTCTCATTTCACTTCCAGTTCTGAGAGGAGTCTGCTTCAACAGACTTTTCCAAGATACTATTAAGATTCACTGACGAATTTTTTGGAAGTAATCGTTGTATTTCCCCCATTGCCCTCTTTCCTTTCCTTCGGCCCTTTTGAGAAGTTTCAGCGCGCGTTTCTCCGAAACTTCCACCCAGCTTTCCAAACGCGTTTTGCATTTTTCCTTTTCCCGCTCTGCGTTCTTCCTTTTCCCAACCGCCCTTCTCGCTCGTCACGAAAATCTTTACGGCGTTTCGCAGTCACCGCCTTCACAGTTTATCCGCTATCGAGACCCGCGCGCGGATTGCATCTCTTCCACCCTCGCCGTCGCCTTCGGTCTTTTTACGGCGGCGGTGGCGGTATCAAGGCCCGCGTACTTTTCTCCTCCCGGGGGCTGTACGGCGAACGTCCCACGGAAACTGGTTTAACGAGCAGGGCGGGCACGAGAGAGAGACCGAGCTTTGTTGATGTCGCCGGCGTTATTACTTCGCGCGCGCCCGTAAGAGTTACCTGCTGGGGAATTCTGCATTCAAATTATCGTCACTCTCGGCAAGTAGACGGGAAACGAGATCGAACGGAGGGATAAGACGTCGTTATCGACTAACGTTTCCGCTCAAAGTAGCCTCGAGTTTTCTGCCCGACTGCGATACGTATACCCCGGCGATATTTCCCCGTCGGATCTTCGAATTTAAACTTGTAATTAATTTGAAAGAAAAATTCTCTTTCTTTTCGTCGGTATTTTCGTTTTTATTTTTCCCGTAGATTGCGGAAAAAGATAAATTCACGAATTATTACGTGAAGGACGAGTCTCTCTTTTTCTCTCTAATTTTTTTATATCTATAGATTCTATGTTTATACAACATGATTTCGCACGCAACGTAACGATATGTTGGTTTAACGATTTGTTTTCAGATGGAAGACGAGGGCAACCACGGCAACGATGACACCAGATGCTTCATCCTATCGACATTGGCCGCTCTGCAGTGGTCTCGAGTTACGTGCGTCCTTTGCCGCGCTGCCATGCTGGTTTTCGACAGGTATCCGTTGGTGGACGGCACGTTCTTCTTGTCACCCAGGCAGCACTCGCCCGCTTGCGCTGAGGTATGTTTCTCAAAATTTTATGAACCTCAATTTTCTTATAGAAAGAATATAAAGCAAATATTTAATTAAGCAACATAAAAATTTTAATGGACTTAGCAGTTTACTGATAGATTAAGTCATCCCTATATACAATTTAATTAAGAAGAATTAATCGATATATTTTTTTACGTACCTCGTTTTTTGCGTTGAATGCTTAGAAAACATAATAATGTTTTAATAAACCGAATAACAAATACATAGTATCCGTCTGTGACGTATATAAATTATTTCCGCACATTGATTAACAATTTAATCACAAATTTAATACAAAACTTCGCGAAACACTAAAATTGCAATTTATTTTTTGCAATTCCCCCTTCCCTCGCGATCTAATCAATATCCACAAAATTTCAATGGCACGGTTTTTCATAGTCCGGTTTTTTTTTATATTTTATTCCAGGTGAAGGTCGAAGGTCGCACGCAATTTTTATCAGCCGTGTGCATGAGTTGTTTGGAGGGCAGCGGCGGCCAGCCCGTACGCTGCCGTTTCTGCACCCAACCGTGGGATGGCTCGAGCTTGGTCCTCGGTACCATGTACAGCTACGATATCTTCGCTGCAATGCCCTGCTGCAGCGAACGACTCAAGGTAAGCCCCGAATTCGTGACTGGCCGACCCAATTGAACTTTGACCCTTTAAAGACGTGAGCGTTAATACATCATCGCGGGTGGTGCGCTCTCGTGTTCGAGTTGTAAAAAAAAAAAAAAACTTTCAAAAGCTTTTTAACGCTGTAATATCTCATGCAGTCATACGATTAACGGGATAGAAGACTCTAAATCATCTCTCGCTTGTTTCGCACTTACGTTTATTTTCTCCAGTTTGATATATGAATTACGACAGTACTGTACCGATCTTTATAAATTTTTTTTCTTTTTTTTTTTTAAATACAAATTGGCGGTCTCGAGAACGACTTTTGAACCTTGAACTTTGAACGACTTTTGACACGGACCCTGCGTAGTTCGCGAATGTTTCCAATACGTGGCGAATTAGACGATCGAAGCTGCATGCTGTACCGTTACATTCTCTGACGCGCCGCATTCGTTACGCCCGCCCGCAACGAAGGGAAAACACCTCACACCTCGAAATGAACGCACCGTTCGTTCCGTTTTCGTTCCAGTGCAACAGCTGCCAGAAGCCCCTGATCTACCCTCATCAGCGGCTGAACTTCTACTCGGACTACAGCCGCGTCTTTGGCTGCCCGCACTGCAGGGCGGTCGATGCGCATTTTATAAAGCCGCTCTCGGCCTGCTTCACCCGCGAGCAGTTTCAGCTCTACAGCCAGTGGCCGTAACCATTAGAGAACTTAGCGAACCGCCGCCGTACGCGCACGACCGCGGCCGACTTGTATCCTCTCTTTTACAAGTCGATCTCTCTGTTCCGGACGACCGTGCTCTAGAATCCTCCCCTCGCGACATGTGTAGAAGACTTTTGACGATGGCGAACGCGCACGGGGGCCCCGCGATCTCTTTTTTTTCTCCTTGGCGCGTGTTGTCGACCGGATCCACCGATGTATTAATTCCTATTAACTCGCCAGACGCTTTTATTTCGGTCGACGCAGCTGATGTTATTTCTTCGCAATTCCTTAGGAATCGTATCTTTTTTTTAACAGTCTAACTCTCTAAATCTGTGAATCGATGGAAAAGTCGCTAATTGAGTCAGATTCAGTGATTATAACCTAACGCCTTGCATTGCTAATAAATAAGTGAAACATGTTTCACTTATGCAGAGCCGAATCCGCTGTGCAATTAGCGAGAACAGCGAGAAATCCATTAATTTGTCAACGATTATAGTGATTATTCACTTATTTATTAGTGATTTTCGAGAGTCAATGAAGTTCAGTGGCCGATCGTGGCGCGAAGAGCTGCGCGTCAGCCTTCTGTGCCAGACTCAAGTTCAAATCCACCCAGAACGATATAAAACTCGGTTTTATTCGATTTGGAAACGATCTCTCGGAAGGCAAATTAAGGCAAATCACCGAGTAACTCTGCCCAGGGAAATTTTAATAGGCCGTTAAAAACCGCCATTAAAACTGTAGGTCCTATATATCTACGGACATATATAAAAGAGATCGCTTATAAGCGTAGAAGAATGAAATTAAATTTCACTGATTACCGGTGACATGCGACTGATGCATTCAATGAATAACCCATTGATAATCAATGACTATCCACTGATTCAAATTTAGAGAGTACCGATATGACGATATGCGAGTGCCCCTAGGCGCATTCCCGTAGTACTAAATAAAAAAAATTAAGATGTTTCTTTTTAACGTCAATTGTAGATTTGTTTTGTCTAGATTGATCTTAAGCGGGAGACGTCGAATTTTTTGACGTTTCGTTTCGACGATGCGCGAGGTGAGCAAAATTAGCGTGCTTTATTTTTTCCTCCCCCCTTATAACGTTGCTCTTTAAGTTTTTTAAGGCATTTATCGTGCGATTTGCTGAAATAAACGGCAATTAATTTTTTTATTAGTACATACATTATGTTTTGACGATTGTCATTACAGACGTGTTTCTCTGATATATAGGTGAGTTTTAACTAGTGAAATTTTTTGTTAGAGGAATCTGTGTGTTTCATCATTTAATGCATTTTTGACCACGTGACGCCGAATCATCTATCTCGGAAATGGTTTTGGAAACTTCGGACGACAAGTGTACGCGTGTGAGACACAGTTTCGCCGTCTCCCGTTTCGTAATATATAGTTGAAATTTCTTTAAAGAAAAATAAATTACATGAAATAAATTTAGGCGGAGATAAACAATGTTAGACACGGAGAGAAAGGTCGATTCCCTTTATTGTAAACGTGTATAAAGAAAATAAGAAAAAAAGGCTACTTTCTAGGAAAAAAGTTTGGGAGGGGAAAAGAAAGAAGAAATATCTTTAAAGAACTATCGTTTGTTACTTAGATAATCGAGAACACGTTGTTTTTTTTACATTTTATTAGTTTATACGTTTATGGCGGCCATGTTGATTTTGTTTAAGGATCTACGACTCACTCGATGGGTTTTTCAACGTTGATTCGGTCGGGCGCGCGTCGCGACTTTCCGCGATTCGGGACAGGAGTTTCTTCGTTGCTTCGAAAGGAGGGACGCGGGTGAAATTCGCGCCGCGGTCGTAAAAGGTAAAAGTAAACTCATCGAGGGAAGAAACCAATCGTTTTGAGACTACCGCTCGCGCTTGTGTACACACGGTTTTTTTTTTCGTCTAGACGAAAAAGAGTGCACGGGGGCTCTCCTCGTTCCTCCGATCCCATCGTCGCCCCGCACGTGTACAGGACGATTCTCGCGGAAAGTCGTGATCGTCCGAGGTAGCCAGTGTATATAACATATTAAGTGGGAGAGAAGCAAGTGTGTTTGGAGAGGAAGAGAACCTTCTTTTTTTCTGGCGATGCTGGTCGTTGCTGTCCACCAATAGCGGCCGTCCCACAAACAGACCGCCCACCGTTCTCAAGGTAGTATAGTCGATCGTGTACCTTTTTTACGTTACTTCGATTTAAAAGAAAAAAAAAAGTATACTTAATCCGTACGTCGGGAGGTATATATTTAGGAGATAATATAATGCCCCGCGTGTGTGTGAAGCGTAACGCGAATGAGGATCGTGAAGCTGCGCGGCTACTTCTTCACGTCTTCGCGTAGAGGAGTTTTGTTTTCGTTCGCTTCCGTCGGCCACGCGTCCGACAAAACCGGAAAGATATCGTTTTGTTTCCACGTAGGACCGACGACAATATGCATCTTTGATGCAAGCATGTTCTTTTTTACCAATATATGCTACGTGAAAAATTGAGAATCCATGAATTTGAATTTTTTTTTGCTGCACAGTTTTGTTATCCCAATTCGAAGCGTACGAAAAATAACGCGGCATTAATTATAATTTTTGTTATTTTTAAAAAACTTGATTTTTTCCACATTTCTTTGTACGCAATATTTTTAGTTATTTGTTTGACGCTCTGCGAAAAAAGATAGTCTATCATGATTGTAAGGACAAAAAAGAATGATGTTTATATGTTTAATAAGCGTGAAGTTCTTTTTCTTTTACGTATCATATAAGGAATGAATAATATATAAGAAATAAAATGATTGAATAACATTAATTTGAAGTAGTCACGCAGTTTCGTTCACGATTCCATTGAAGGAGAGTGAAAGAAGAAAACAGGGAGGGGTGAGAAATGAAAAATTAAAAAAAAAAGATAAAAAAATAAAGCACAAGAGAACGCGCCAATCAACCGGCGCTTTGAGGATGTAGTCAGTTCGATAAAATCTTCCTTTGGTCAGGGCCAACATTGGCGAGTCAGGCAACTGGCGGCGCGTTTCCTGTGCGCGAAGAATTTTAAACTCCCGCGTTAATTAATTTCTCGTATGTTTAGTGTGTCGGAGGCAAGGACGATCGCGCGTTTGAGTCCTTCCCCGATTCGTTTCGTCTCGACCGTACGTTTTTCTCAGAGTGCCAAATGAGCGATTGCCAAGCGAAAGCAGCGTTTTAGTATTCTCTATCTTTCGTCCTTTTTTTCCCCCAAGTTTTCGTTTTGCAATTCGTATCTTCGTCGTTCTTTGTCTGGGACTTTTATCGAACTCTCTCGCCACCGTCGACAATGCAGATTAAAAAGCCAGCAGTACGGCCGCTCGATCGACGGCGAAGGGAACTTGAATTTCGTTTTCGCAGCACGTGCGATAAAAATTTCGAGCGACGCTGGAGGCATCGAAATCGGGCACGAATTGTCGCCTTTCAAAATAAGGTCTGGAAAATGGAAGACTACCGCTGTTTTTAAACGTTTCTTTCGCTTTCCCGCGCGAAGTTTTATCGAGACGTGAGACACACAAAATTGGCCTTTAAAAGAAACTACAATGCGCTTGCACAGATTTTTCCAAGGTAAGTGAAACATTCTTTTCAAAATTAACGCAACAGTTTTGAGCCGTTTCAAGTTCCTCGTACGATCGGAAGCGAAAAATTTTCCTAATGACTTATGACGCGCGTGTAATAGATGCACGCGTCGCGTGTGTACTCCCTACTGCTTTCAATTTTTAATAAGAATCCGCGATATGCGCTATTAACTCCGACTCCTCTGAGTTACTGTCGCAAGCAAAAAAAAAAGAGAGAGGAACCCAGAGGATGAATATAGTTTCCGGAAGTTTATTCACGCGGCTATTATTTATCGTGGCTCTACACGGGATTGACGCGATTACGAGAATTATTTCATTGCGTAGTTTCATAATAAAAGGAATTGGAGGCTCCTCGCATTTACGAAATTTTTCTAGACGTACTTTTTTTTACAAGCTACATGACTTTAACATGCTTGATTTAATTTAAAAAAGTGACAAGAATGAGATAAATGATATAATAATATAAAATAACAATTTTATGAGTTTTAAAATAATTTAGAGCTAACAAACGCAGTATCTCATTGTCATTTTTTCACCGAAAATAAGGAAAAATAGTAGTGACTGCAGGAGCCTTTCTACAGAATTTAGGCAATTTTTGGCAAAAAAAAAGGCTGATCATGTTGATGTGTCAGCAGACTAGATTAGGGACGAAGCCGAGAATGTTGCGATTTTGGAGCACCTTAGTTATTTTCCTTCTACCATAATTTCGTGCGCGAATACGTTTGGACGAACATGTCCCAGTCGGATTCGAATTTCGAGTCGTCGAACTGGTGGATCGGAGGATCCTCGGAAGCGTAGAAGAAGTGATGAACTTACGGCAGGCAAGAAGAATCGTCGCGAGAGGGGAGGGGAAAAAGGATACCTTTTTTCGCTACTGACGATGCCGTAGCAAGCTGCTGCTTTTTTTTCTATAAGAGGACAGCAAGTATCTTTTATCATCAATCGTGCGTCGACGCACGACGGCGCACTTAGCTCCGTAGTTGATAAGGCTAATGTTACATTAGGCTAATCTTTTTTATTCGGATAATTACTATAGCGATTTTGTACTTTTGCTATTTTCATCAACGGGCGTGGGTGGAATCGCGCGACGAGAAATTATCGACGAGATCACGCTGCTTTCCGGTCCATTGCGCTGTATAAAGTCGCCCAACGTTAGCCCGATCCACGAAGATCCATGCGACGGAAATGCGTTGTACAAAGGATACAAGCTGGAGAGCGCTGTTCTCCAAAGGGCTATCACGGATCTGCGCGGGGTCGCCGGAAGGTTTGGCATTCGGACAAATGTATCTCTCCCCCGGTGATTCTCGGTGTCATATCTTTCGACTAAAAGCGACGGTCTTTGACAGACAGAAGATTGTCGGAAAGTTTGACGCTTCGCGAGGTTCCTCGTACGATATATATGCTCCACGCAGAGCACAGCACTGTGATATCTTCTCGATCAGACTGGCCGGTAACGTTGTTGTGTTAACTGAAATAGCGGTAGAAGAATAAGATACGTCAATTCAGTTTAAAATCGAAATAGCAATACGAGCGACAAATTAATTGCGAAGAGGAGAAAATTCGATTTTAATGAAATTCCGTATTACTTTTTTTGAAGGGGCGAGTTTGACATTACAAATCACACGAATTGTCCTGTATCTCAGGAAGCTAGTCATATTCAGCAGATGGACGCGTTTTGGTGATCCCGTAACGCTTCTAGCGCCGACAACTGTTAGTCCGGAACCTCACATAAGCATACCAGTGATTCCGAATGTTGAAACCTTCTGGAAACCTGTTATTATATGCGCGCGGCAGTCGAACGATGGATACGCCAATAGTCTGCGCGTCTTCTCAAACGTTGCGGTCGTTTGGGAATTCTCGCGAGGAATTTTCGCTGTTACTCCAAAAAATTCGCAGACATTCGGGCTAACGACAGGCAATACGGAGAGGGAAATTCGCGCCTTACACGAGCCGACGAAGTCGCGGCACGTTTCGTGCGTTTCTCTTACGCACGAAATTTATCCGTTGAAAATTTATTCTCGCCGCGCCGTTCGCCGACGTCCCTAATGTCGATCTAGTGAACGTTTTGTATATCAGTGTTTTTTATATGGACGACTGGGGTACCAGCGGGGGTGGCGGGGCGATCCCGTCGATGACTCTACCGTGACTTTCGAGATAAATCGGTACCGTCGACCCAGACACTGCCTTCCTCGCTGCCCGAAGATTTACCGAATAATCGATATATCCCGCGTTTGTGAATTTTATATAATCCGAATAGCGTTCGCGTGGTACGTTTGTATGGGGCTAGGGGGACAGGGTTGATGGGAGGAAGGGAGGGAAAGATAGGGTTGAGTATCTCCGTGATGGAGTAGAGAGGTTACGAATGGTTGAATTATGAATAGAGTTTAGCGTAGAGTCATTACTTGAAAAGAAAAGAAGGTTTGAATCATCGATAAATAGTAAGTTTATATAGAACGACAGTTTTCTCGTAGTTAAGACGACCCTTTCGTTTTCGCCGGTCGTTCACCCGGCTTCCAAAGAGGAGAGGAGGGTGGGTGGTACAAGAGAGAAAGGACAGGAGGAGTGGGGAGGCGAGGGGAGGAAGGTGAAGGTGAGATTCTGTCCTCGAGCCTCGCCTCGGGGGCGCGAAGAAGACGTGCGCGAAACCCTCCCCGCGGACCTCCGCCCTCGGCGCCGGTCGACTTTG